AGCATGTCCCTCGCGGAACCTCGCTGCCATAACAACCCTCCGGAAAACCTTCCTATCCTGAGCAAGATGTCCTGCGTCTGATACACCCATCTGGAGATCATCTGCCACATCCTGCACCCATCTTCTCCTTGGCCTTCCTCTTCCTCTCTTCCCAGGCATATACCCCTCCATTATTGTTCTCTCTAGACTTCCATGACGTTTCAAGTGACCAAAATATTTCAATTTTCTTTGTTTTATTGTCTTTACTAGCCAACCCTCTTCAATATTCAGCTCTTGAAGTATGGATGCATTTGTTCTTTTCTTTACCCAAGATATTCTTAGAACCTGTCTGTAACATTTATATTCAAATGCATTTATGCGCTGTTCCGCTTGTTTAGTGAGTGTCCAGGTCTCACAGGTGTATGTTGCAATGGGAAAGATGCATGCTCTTAAAAATCTGACCTTTGTAATTCTATCTGTACAATTCCATAATTTATTCAGTTGTTTTAGTCTTTTAAGAGCAATTGATAGTCGCCGTTTAATTTCTTTCATTGTGTCACCATTGTTGGTAACCAGTGACCCAAGATATTCAAAATTTTCCACCACTTCCAATCTTTCCTCATTAACATATATTTCCTTCTCCATGGCAGTTTTGTTTGTATGCATTATCTTTGTTATTGCTATGTTAAGAAATAAGTTATGATTTTCACTATTTCTTTGGAGTGAGGTTAATAAGTTTTCTAAACCATTTTGTGATGTTGATAGTAATACTGTATCATCAGCATAACGAATTTCTGGTATTTCATGACCACCGATGTTTAGGGCATCATATTGTTCCTTGTTTATATCATCTCTTACATTTCTCATTATATTTTCGGCGTACAGGTTGAACAAATACGGTGACAGCACACATCCCTGACGAACTCCTTGCTTGATGCCAAACCAGTCTGATGTCTCTCCATCTATTCTGACTGCTGCTTGTTGGTCTTGATAGAGCATTTTAATGAGCTGCACTATATGTGATGGAAAGCCCATATTCCTCATGATTTCCCAAAGCTTCTGATGTTGTACACAGTCAAATGCTTTTGAATAATCCACAAAACATAAGAACAGATTTACATTAAATTCTCTACACTTCTCTATTACTAAACGCATGTTGAATATATGATCTCTTTTTCCTCTTCCCTGTCTAAATCCAGCATGAGCTACATTAATCTCTTCTTCCATTTTCTTATGCAGTCTTCTCATTATAATTTTTAGTAGAATTTTACTTGCATGACTGATCAGGGCAATAGTTCGATAGTTTGTACATAATTTCAGGTCACCCTTTTTTGGTATTGGAATGAAGATAGTTCTCTTCCAGTCTTTTGGCCAAATACCATATTTCCATATCTTTTCACATAATGCATGATAGATTTTTATGCTTTCTTCTACTCCCGCTTTAATCAATTCAGCTGGTATCTCATCACATCCAGGTGATTTACCATTTTTCAGGCTCCTTATTGCCCATGAAATTTCATCTAATGAAGGTTCAGGTTCTGCCTCTACTGTTACTGGTTCATGTATATCATTCATATCCTCACTGTCATTCATATCATACATTCCGCTGCAGTATTCTGTTAAAGTATTTCCCAACCTGTCACAAATAACATTTAACTGAGGTTGAAAATTTCTTGTCAATAACTTCATTTCCTTGAACATTTCGTAATCTCTTCCATTTTTATGATGCTGCTCTATTTTAATACAGCAATCTTGTACATACTGATTTTTATCCTTTCTTGTGTACTTTCTTATTTCTCGTGTTAAAAATTTATACTTCATCCTACTGTCATTGGTTTCTCCTTTCTTTTTCAGTTCCCTTCGTTGTTTTATTAGTTCTAACGTGTATAGTGTGATCCATGGTTTATGTTGCTTAGTCCTGGTGGGTATTAAGTCTTTAGCTGCTGTTATCAAGATATCCCTAGCTTGTACCGCCAGGCATCAGGTGTCATTTCCTCTTGTACAGACATCAAGACCTCAAAACGGTTCTCCACTTCTACGTTGTATGCATCTGGTATTTTTGTGAGATCAAATCGAAATGGCCTTGGTCCTCGGGTAAGCTTTTTGAGTTTTAATTTCAGATCTGCTTCTAGTAACTGATGATCTGTATCGCAATCTGCACTTCGCAGGGTTTTTGCAGATGTTATGCTCGATCTCCATCTTCTTTGTATTAAAATGTAATCTATCTGATTTTTGGTAACACCGTCAGGGGATGTCCATATTAAAAGCCTTCTAGGGTGTTGTTTATAAAGTGTGTTAGCTATTGTTAATTCATTTTCTATGCAAAATTCAATCAATTTTTCTCCTGTTTCATTTCTATTACCCAATCCAAATTTTCCTAAAACGTGTCTCTCATTTTCAGCTCTGCCTGTACCTACTTTAGCATTAAAATCTCCCATTATTATTATTATATCATTCTGATTAATTTTATTTAATGTGTCTTGCAGTATGGCATAAAAATCTTCAATTTCGCCCTCCTCTGCTGTTGAAGTTGGTGCATATACCTCACACACCATTACACTATCATATTACAGGCTAAACTATTGAATATAATTCTCGAATTCTTTTCTGTCAAATACGTTCCTAAACAAGCTAACTTTATAAAACTCATACTGTCAGAATACAGTACCTGTCCTGTCTCTGGCCTCAAAAACCAACCTCACTTACCTGGTCTTGCACAACCATTTTTTTGGTCCCAGCTGCGGTGGTCCCAAGGTCTCCGTGTCCGCTGTGTCTTGAGATGTACTAACTCAGTTAATCTCATTTTACACTGACTGTCATCTCTACTACTGTGAACTGTCAGTCGGCAAGTAGAGCTCCAACAGTTACTATCATCATAAACATACATGCATAGGGGCATAGGCCCCTGACAGATTTCATGTTTCAATGAATGGATCATGCTTGAACCATAACAGTTTAAGCTTTTAGTAATAACAAATATTTGTTTCATCAAGTTTATGTATATATTTTCTTTCTGTTTTGTTTTATATGCATCTGTGACTCAAGCATTGCAAATGTGAGTAATGTCAGGGCGCCGAGTTCAATCCCAGCTGCAGACAATGTGGCAGCAGACCAACTGGCATTGGTTTCTACAGTGGTATAGAGAGCCGACTATATAGAAAGGAATGGCAAACTACTAAACCTAAATTTGCCTTGAAAAACCACAACAGCCAAAAATGCTGGGGCTGGTTCTGCATCAGATAAAGTATACACAACTAGGGGAGGGAGGGGGGGGGGGGTAAGTGGTCTTGAGGTATGGTGTCTGCCTTGAGTGCTGGAGGTCCCAGGTTCAAGCCCTGGTGAAGGCTGAGATTTCTTCATGTGGACTTCTAGTAATTTCCCCTGGTCTCTGGGTAGTAAGACTGGACGCCTGATGTTTTGTTGCGCATGTAAAAAAAATCCTTTGGCAGTTCAAAATCAAAAAGAGTAGTCTAACGGCGCTACCTGAGGAAAATGTTAAATTAAAAATATACCCAAATAGTATGTCACGATCCTCACCAGTGCAACAGAAGTCGTGCATTGTGCTGAGATCTTCAGACTCAGTCAGTCTTGAGTTAGAAGTAGAAGAGAGCACTGACGGGTTGACACCCGTGTGCCACATAAGATATAGGAGATGTCACGGGTAATCAGCCATTGGTGGATCTGCCTGGTCTGGCCAAGTTGCCAGTGGCAGCCATCTTGGCACTGACTGAAGAGATGAAGTCCTGCAATGTGGTGACTCTAAATAAATGATGATCAAAGATACAAGGACACACTTACTGCCCCCTGATTTGGGCCAAAGGGCGAAAGCTCATGCGCCGCTGGATCGATAACAACAACAACAACAACTGCCCCCTGACGACGGAGAAGATACGAGTGATCAAAGATACAAGGACACACTTACTGCACCCTGACGACGGAAAAGATACGAGTGATCAAAGATACAAGGACACACTTACTGCCCCCTGACGACGGAAAAGATACCAGTGATCAAAGATACAAGGACACACTTACTGTCCCCTGACGACGGAAAAGATCCGAGTGATCAAAGATACGATGACACACTTGCTGCCCCCTGACGATGGAGAAGATACCAGTGATCAAAGATACAAGGACACACTTACTGCCCCCTGACGATGGAGAAGATACGAGTGATCAAAGATACAAGGACACACTTGCTGCCCCCTGACGACGGAAAAGATCCGAGTGATCAAAGATACGATGACACACTTACTGCCCCCTGACGACGGAGAAGATACAAGTGATCAAAGATACAAGGACACACTTACTGCCCCCTGACGATGGAGAAGATACGAGTGATCAAAGATACAAGGACACACTTACTGCCCCCTGACGACGGAGAAGATATGAGTGATCAAAGATACAAGGACACACTTACTGCCCCCTGACGATGGAGAAGATACGAGTGATCAAAGATACAAGGACACACTTACTGCCCCCTGACGACGGAGAAAAAACAATTGATCAAAGATACAAGGACACACTTACTGTCCCCTGACGACGGAGAAGATACAAGTGATCAAAGATACAATGACACAATTACTGCCCCCTGACGACGGAGAAGATACAAATAATCAAAGATACAAGGACACACTTACTGTCCCCTGACGACGGAGAAGATAAGAGTGATCAAAGATACAATGACACACTTACTGTCCCCTGATGACGGAGAAGATACGAGTGATCAAAGATTCAAGGACACACTTACTGTCCCCTGACGACGGAGAAGATACGAGTGATCAAAGATACAATGACACACTTACTGCCCCCTGATGACGGAGAAGATACGAGTGATCAAAGATACAAGGACACACTGCCTGTCCCCTGACGACGGAGAAGATTCTAGTGATCAAAGATACAATGACACACTTATTGCCCCTGATGACGGAGAAGATACGATTGATCAAAGATACAATGACACACTTACTGCCCCCTGATGACGGAGAAGATACGAGTGATCAAAGTTACAATGACACACTTACTGCCCCCTGATGACGGAGAAGATACGAGTGATGTCTGGCTCAGGCAAGGCTCTGATGACAAAGGTGATGGTCAGGGCATGTGGTATATCCCAGACATATTCAGGCAGTAGCTCCAAGCCAGGGACACCAGCGCTGGACGGGGGACCTGAAATGATGTCCCAAATCTGTTGAGAGACATCTGTCTTGAAAACAATAAAACTATTCCACACAATGATTTGGTTACCTATCTCAGAAAAAGACAACTGGTCTTCGCTGGTCCTGCTGTGAGAAGAGGACAAATTGCAGTACATTCTGACAACAGGAAAGTTTCAGGGAAACAGAGGCAGGGGGAGCCTAGAGAGAGAGATGACGCTGGACAGTTTCACACCATGGCATGGAAGAAATGACTGACAGTATACCAGACAGAAGGCTGTCAACAAACATGACTACCAATGCCACAGAATACCTGTTAACTTCTGCTTTTTAAACTCCCCAAGGAACACAGATACTCAACCAACTCAAGTCAGGCCACGTGCAGGCTTGTTTATGACCTGACTTTGCATTAATAGTTGTGTATGAGATGAGGTGACCAGTGGCAGGCCAGTCCTGCTGGCCACAAGCATGGTCAGTTAGACTGTGGCCACTCCTGGCTCTAAATTCTGGATCACTAGAACATTGCCAGGAATGCTCAGACAGAACAGACACAAACGGATAAAGGAAGCAGTCCTTCTAAACACAAATGAGAAAAGTCTAGTTTTAGAGACATTATAAACAGAGTCAAGAATATTTGGAGGAGACATAAGCTTGGGAATATGGTGACAACTGGCAACTATCATCATCATCTGGTGCCTTGACAACTGGCAAGGGCAATCATGCCTATCCACAATCTGCAATATCCTGCAGCATGTATCAGTTCGTGTGCTGACACATCTCCATGCCATGCTACAAGACTGTCAAGAATCTTTTCTCATTGTCTTCCTCTATCCCTCCATCCACAGATCTTTCTAGTGGTCACAACTATACAGGAATGTTATCAAATGATATTATCTACAAATGATTCTTACCAAGTGTGAATGTTATCCAAGAATGAATGTTATCTAAGTGTGAATGTTATCTATGTATGAATGTTATCTATGTATGAATGTTATCTATGTATGAATGTTATCTATGTATGAATGTTATCTATGTATGTATGTTATGTATGTATGTATGAATGTTATCCAAGTATGAATGTTATCCAAGTGTGAATGTTATCTATGTATGAATGTTATCTATGTATGAATGTTATCTATGTATGAATGTTATCTATGTATGTATGTATGTTATAATGTTATCTATGTATGAATGTTATCCAAGTGTGAATGTTATCCAAGTGTGAATGTTATCCATGTATGAATGTTATCTATGCATGAATGTTATCTATGTATGAATGTTATCTATATATGAATGTTATCTATATATGAATGTTATCTATGTATGTATGTTATCTATGTATGAATGTTATCTATGTATGTATGTTATCTATATATGAATGTTATATATGCATGAATGTTATCTAAGTATGAATGTTATCTATGCATGAATGTTATCTATGCATGATTGTTATCTATGTATGAATGTTATCTATGTATGAATGTTATCTATGTATGAATGTTATCTACTTATGAATGTTATCTACTTATGAATGTTATCTATGTATGAATGTTATCTATGCATGAATGTTATCTATGTATGAATGTTATCTACTTATGAATGTTATCTACGTATGAATGTTATCTATGTATGAATGTTATCTATGCATGAATGTTATCTATGCATGAATGTTATCTACGTATGAATGTTATCTACGTATGAATGTTATCTACTTATGAATGTTATCTACTTATGAATGTTATCTTCTTATGAATGTTATCTATGTATGAATGTTATTTATGTATGAATGTTATCTATGTATGAATGTTATCTACATATGAATGTTATCTATGTATGAATGTTATCTATGTGTAAATGTTATCTAAGTATGAATTTTATTTACAAAAACTGTTGCTGTACTCACACATGATGGTCAAGAGAATCCGGCCCTGCCCAGCACTGACATTGTTCCTGCCGTCACAGGTGTAGACTCCAGTATGCTCACACCTGAGGTGTGACAACGACTGGTTGCTGGTGTACACCCTCTGGTAGATGCCATTGCTGGCCATTCTCTCTCGAGGACCTGTTGCTGTCTGAGCTGACAAGATGCCCTTTGATGGCGAGCTCCACCTGTAGAAACAAACAGCCAGGTAATGCTAGGGTAGGCACTGCTACAGATGTGCTCAAACATATATGAGGTCATACAGGTGAGGAAAAATTATGGCTTTGGATAGGACATACACACTCAGACCCCAAAAAAAAATCATCTGATGGACTGTGTGGATGCCTTTACCACCCACAAAATCTTTTTCAAGGTTTTCACCCTTCTTCTTCATTAACCATTTTAAAGGGTGGCTGGCATGTAATGTTGTTGATTACAGCTTGGCTGCAATATTGGTACCTTTCAGCCCAACACATCCAATTTAAGCAAACCCTTGATAACTTGTCTTTTCTGACAGGCTTACTGAAGGCAGTGAATCTTGTTCTCGACCCCCTCCAAAATGGGGCCACATGACCCACACTGGTGTGGCTGTCAACATGAGAGTCCAGGTCATGTTTAGAAGCAGGAGATTTGAACCAATGACCACCACATCAGCAGGTAAGTGTGCTAGCCATCACCTGAACATGGCTTCCAAACAAACAAACAACAATCAGGAAATGTATCAGACAGGGAACAGAGAAAACATGTCCGTGGAAAATCTTACGTGACAAGTGGGCCAGGATTGCTGTCAAAAACACATGACAGATCCACATGACTGTCCTCAAGTAGTCGTAGACTGCTCACTTCCTGTTCGTTGACAAGAGTCGTTGGGTTCCCAATGTCTGTAAATAGAGGATGACTCACACACATGATAATATCACCAACAAGAAGCTTAAATGTTTAGTCTCTCTTGAGAACAACAATAGTTGTATGTAATGTTAGTCAAACTGAGGGTAGAAACAACAATAGTTGTATGTAATATTAGTCATACTGAGGGTAGAAACAACAATAGTTGTATGTAATGTTAGTCAAACTGAGGGCATGAACAACAATAGTTGTATGTAATGTTAGTCACACTGAGGGCATGAACAACAATAGTTGTATGCAATGTTAGTCCCACTGAGGGCACAAACAACAATAGTTGTATGTAATATTAGTCACACTGAGGGCATGAACAACAATAGTTGTATGTAATGTTAGTCATACTGAGGGTAGAAACAACAATAGTTGTATGTAATGTTAGTCAAACTGAGGGCATGAACAACAATAGTTGTAGGTAATGTTAGTCACACTGAGGGCATGAACAACAATAGTTGCATGTAATGTTAGTCACACTGAGGGCATGAACAACAATAGTTGTATGTAATGTTAGTCACACTGAGGGCATAAATAACAATAGTTGTATGTAATGTTGGTCATACTGACGGCATCAACAACAATAGTTGTATGTAATGTCAGTCAAACTGAGGGCAGGAACAACAATAGTTGTGTGTAATGTTAGTCATTCTGAGGGCATGAACAACAATAGCTGTATGTAATGTTAGTCACACTGAGGGCATAAACAACAATAGTTAGTGTAAAGTAGCTGTATGACATGGGTGTTAAGTAGCTGTATGGCATGAGTGTTAAGTAGCTGTATGGCATGAACGAACAAACGAACGAACGAACGAACTTTATTTTCAAAGGGTTACAAATTTAGCATAGAACAGAGACAATAAGGAAAGACAGGAATAAAAAGTAGAAACTAAGGTTCAAAGGAACACAAATAACTGTGTCCTTTAGCACAGTAAGGATATGTGATAAGGAACAGTAACATTAGATAGGAATAAAGTCAGACAAGAAAAGCTCAAAGAAACACAAATAATTTAACATTAGATAGGAATACAGTCAGACAAGAACAGCTCAAAGAAACACAAATAATTTAACATTAGATAGGAATACAGTCAGACAAGAACAGCTCAAAGAAACACAAATAATTTAACATTAGATGGGAATACAGTCAGACAAGAACAGCTCAAAGGAACACAAATAATTTAACATTAGATGGGAATAAAGTCAGACAGGAACAGATCAAAGGAACACAAGTAATTTAACATTAGATGGGAATAAAGTCAGACAAGAACAGCTCAAAGAAACACAAATAATTTAACATTAGATAGGAATACAGTCAGACAAGAACAGCTCAAAGAAACACAAATAATTTAACATTAGATGGGAATACAGTCAGACAAGAACAGCTCAAAGGAACACAAATAATTTAACATTAGATGGGAATACAGTCAGACAAGAACAGCTCAAAGGAACACAAATAATTTAACATTAGATGGGAATAAAGTCAGACAGGAACAGATCAAAGGAACACAAATAATTTAACATTAGATAGGAATACAGTCAGACAAGAACAGCTCAAAGAAACACAAATAATTTAACATTAGATGGGAATACAGTCAGACAAGAACAGCTCAAAGGAACACAAATAATTTAACATTAGATGGGAATACAGTCAGACAAGAACAGCTCAAAGGAACACAAATAATTTAACATTAGATGGGAATACAGTCAGACAAGAACAGCTCAAAGGAACACAAATAATTTAACATTAGATGGGAATAAAGTCAGACAAGAACAGCTCAAAGAAACACAAATAATTTAACATTAGATAGGAATACAGTCAGACAAGAACAGCTCAAAGAAACACAAATAATTTAACATTAGATGGGAATACAGTCAGACAAGAACAGCTCAAAGGAACACAAATAATGTAACATTAGATGGGAATAAAGCCAGACAAGAACAGCTCAAAGGAACACAAATAATTTAACATTAGATGGGAATACAGTCAGACAAGAACAGCTCAAAGGAACACAAATAATGTAACATTAGATGGGAATACAGTCAGACAAGAACAGCTCAAAGGAACACAAATAATGTAACATTAGATGGGAATAAAGCCAGACAAGAACAGATCAAAGAAACACAAATAATTTAACATTAGATGGGAATACAGTCAGACAAGAACAGCTCAAAGAAACACAAATAATTTAACATTAGATGGGAATAAAGCCAGACAAGAACAGCTCAAAGAAACACAAATAATTTAACATTAGATGGGAATAAAGCCAGACAAGAACAGCTCAAAGAAACACAAATAATTTAACATTAGATGGGAATAAAGCCAGACAAGAACAGCTCAAAGAAACACAAATAATTTAACATTAGATAGGAATACAGTCAGACAAGAACAGCTCAAAGAAACACAAATAATTTAACATTAGATAGGAATACAGTCAGACAAGAACAGCTCAAAGAAACACAAATAATTTAACATTTGATGGGAATACAGTCAGACAAGAACAGCTCAAAGGAACACAAATAATTTAACATTAGATGGGAATAAAGCCAGACAAGAACAGCTCAAAGGAACACAAATAATTTAACATTAGATGGGAATACAGTCAGACAAGAACAGCTCAAAGGAACACAAATAATTTAACATTAGATGGGAATAAAGCCAGACAAGAACAGCTCAAAGGAACACAAATAATTTAACATTAGACGGGAATACAGTCAAACAAGAACAGCTCAAAGAAACACAAATAATTTAACATTTGATAGAGTCAGAAAGAAAGAAAAGCTCAAAATAAAACACGCAACCTCACACTTCAGACCAGATAATGTACTGAATGAAAAATAAAGAAAGAAAGAAACACCTACAGATAAACAGAAAATACGTACACAAAGCCTCCAGATAGAAAGTTTTGTTGATGACCCCATGTCTATTCTCAGCTTTACACCGGTACAACCCCTCGTTGATTCTGGAGACATCCAAACTCAAGACTTTTTTGTCTGCCAAGTTTGTAACCTCACCGATCCTAAAATGACAAGGCAACAGATGATCAATGTCATATGGCATTCACACATGACATTATACAATAAATATTACAAAACATAATTACTGACGACAAGACATAATTACTGACCCCAAGACATAATTACTGACCACTATACATAATTACTGACCACAGGACATAATTACTGACCCCAAGACAAAATTACCGACCACAAGACATAATTACTGTCCACAATAGATAATAACTGACCACAAGACATGATTACTGACCACAAGACATAATTACTGACCCCAAGACAAAATTACTGACCACAAGACATAATTACTGACCACAAGAGATAATTACTGACCACAAGACATAATTACTGACCCCAAGACAAAATTACCGACCACAAGACATTATTACTGACCACAAGACATGATTATTGACCACAAGACATAATTACTGACCCCAAGACAAAATTACCGACCACAATACATAATTACTGACCACAAGAGATAATTACTGAATACAAGACATTCAAACACGAATAAATTGTGTTACACTGAAAAAATGAATTCAAGGAAGTGAGTACTAGCTCATCATCATTTAGCAGGTCCTTTGCAGAACGTCGCTCTCATTATGGTCTGCCTGAAAGAAACTCGGTCTCTGACCAGCTCTCCCGCCTCATGTACTTTTGTACTCACTGATTTCCTGTGCCCATCTTCATGCTGGTCGGTCTCTGCCCCTCCTTCCTGGTACCATGCCCTCTGCTATTATTTTGTTCCAATCCGTTGTGGCCCTTGATATGACCAAAATATTTCAGCTTCCTAGAACCAGCTATGAAACTATTTAAAACAACAAAATGATATAGAGGTCAACTACTGAAGAAACAAATAAAATAGAAATACTAAAATGTAAGGAAAATACAATAAATGAACAAGGATGTTCACAGATTTTACCCAGCCAATCCTCCGAAGGGCTTATATAACCACATGATGTCGCATGGAGGTTGGCAGTCTGCGTCACATCGGTACGACACCTGCTGACCTATCACCCTTTTCATGACATCGTCAGACTCAAAGACTGGGGACAATCTGAAGTCTTCAGCTGTTGGTTTGTCTGCAAGTTTACATCGATACAAGTGGGAATCAGCACATTTTAAGGCACATGAGATATTATCATCATCATCTCCATGTATCATACATTACTAGGATAATAGGCTCTATTAATCTTATTTGTCAGAAGCAAGCTTCCTGACCAGACTAGCCAGGAAGGGACAGAAAATAGGATGTTTTTGAGCTAAAATGCTCAGATTCTCAGAATACCACAGACAAAGAAGAGAAGAAATACTGACATTTTACCAGATCTGAACATCAAGGAAAATTGGCTTGCATCTTATCTCGGAAGCTAAAATATTTTGGTCATATCAAGCGCCATGGTGGACTAGACAAAATAACAGCAGAGGGAATGGTACCAGGAAGGTGGGGCAAGGGCCAACCAACATGAATATGGGCACATGAGGCAGGAGAGCTGGCGAGAGACCAAGTTTCTTTCAGGCAGACTGACAGCAACATTCTGCGAAGGACGTGCTTCATGATGATGATGACCTGAAATGGGTTTTATCCTACATGGGTGATTCTGCTACCTTCAGACACTTGAATATGTCTGCTGCATAAAGTAACATACATTCTATATTCTATGGGAAAAGACAGGAACACATAGATATCTATTCTGCTACCATCAGACACTTGAACGTCTGCTGCATAAAGTAACAGACATTCTATATTCTATGGGAAAAGACAGGAACACATAGATATCTATTCTGCATTCAAAATGAGCTGTAGCTCTGCCAAAATAAGATCAATCCATATCCACAATATGATCCTCTCCTGGCATGAGATCAATCCATATCCACAATATGATCCTCTCCTGGCATGAGATCAATCCATATCCACAAAATGATCCTCTCCTGGCATGGTTTTTCTAAAACTCTCAGTGGAGCATAGGCCTTCACCTAACTGCTCCCTCCTTGCTCTGGCTTTGTATTCCAAACAGTTGCCTTTCAATGAGTATTAGATCCAAATGTAGTCTTTCCTCACGTCAGATTTGGGTGGAATAACTAAGACACAAATCCAAGAAACTATGAAAGTATTCATGAGTGCAAACTGTGGAAATATCAATTCTGGCACGCTGTGAAAGTGTGAATCTGATCAAACTGTGGAAATATCAATTCTGGCACGCTCTGAAAGTGTGAATCTGATCAAACTGTGGAAATATCAATTCTGGCACGCTCTGAAAGTGTGAATCTGATCAAACTGTGGAAATATCAATTCTGGCACGCTGTGAAAGTGTGAATCTGATCAAACTGTGGAAATATCAATTCTGGCACGCTGTGAAAGTGTGAATCTGATCAAACTGTGGAAATATCAATTCTGGCACGCTGTGAAAGTGTGAATCTGATCAAACTGTGGAAATATCAATTCTGGCACGCTGTGAAAGTGTGAATCTGATCAAACTGTGGAAATATCAATTCTGGCACGCTGTGAAAGTGTGAATCTGATCAAACTGTGGAAATATCAATTCTGGCACGCTCTGAAAGTGTGAATCTGATCAAACTGTGAAAATATCAATTCTGGCACGCTGTGAAAGAACGAATCTGATCAACCTATGGAAATATCAACTAGAGTGAACTGATTCAGAACTGTCAACAGAAATATCAACTGAAATATCAACTAGCGTGAACTGATTCAGAACTGTCAACATAAATATAATCTGAAATATCAACTAGAGTAAACTGATTCAGAACTGTCAACATAAATATAATCTGAAATATCAACTAGCGTGAACTGATTCAGAACTGTCAACAGAAATATAATCTGAAATATCATCTAGAGTGAACTGATTCAGAACTGTCAACAGAAATATCAACTAGCGTGAACTGATTCAGAACTGTCAACAGAAATATCAACTAGCGTGAACTGATTCAGAACTGTCAACAGAAATATCAACTAGAGTAAACTGATTCAGAACTGTCAACAGAAATATCATCTGAAATATCAACTAGAGTGAACTGATTCAGAACTGTCAACAGAAATATCATCTGAAATATCAACTAGAGTGAACTGATTCAGAACTGTCAACAGAAATATCATCTGAAATATCAACTAGAGTAAACTGATTCAGAACTGTCAACAGAAATATCATCTGAAATATCAACTAGAGTAAACTGATTCAGAAATGTCAACAGAAAAATCATCTGAATGAAGCCTGAAATATGGACTTAAATAAACTATCAGCCGAGGGCATGGCTGAGATTCAAACACACATGGGACGGGCCTGTGAAACGAGACTCTAGGATCTTCTCCTTTTCTCATCATTGACCAGCTGTAAACTCTTGTGGAAAGTTCTGGTGGTTCATCCACTTCTCATCATTGACCATCTGTAAACTCTTGTGGAAAGTTCTGGGGGTTCATCCACTTCTCATCATTGACCAGATGTAAACTCTTGTGGAAAGTTCTGGGAGTTAATCTACTTCTCATCATTGACCAGCTGTAAACTCATGTGGAAAGTTCTGGGGGTTCATCCACTTCTCATCATTGACCAGCTGTAAACTCTTGTGGAAAGTTCTGGTGGTTCATCCACTTCTCATCATTGACCAGATGTAAACTCTTGTGGAAAGTTCTGGGGGTTCATCTACTTCTAATCATTGAACAGATGTAAACTCTTGCGGAAAGTTCTGGGGGTTCATCCACTTCTCATCATTGACCAGCTGTAAACTCTTGTGGAAAGTTCTGGGGGTTCATCCACTTCTCATCATTGACCAGATGTAAACTCTTGTGGAAAGTTCTGGGGGTTCATCTACTTCTCATCATTGACCAGCTGTAAACTCTTGTGGAAAGTTCTGGGGGTTCATCCACTTCTCATCATTGACCAGCTGTAAACTCTTGTGGAAAGTTCTGGGGGTTCATCTACTTCTCATCATTGACCAGCTGTAAACTCTTGTGGAAAGTTCTGGGGGTTCATCTACTTCTCATCATTGATTAGCTGTAAACTCTTGTGGAAAGTTCTGGGGGTTCATCTACTTCTCATCATTGACCAGATGTAAACTCTTGTGGAAAGTTCTGGGGGTTCATCTACTTCTCATCATTGACCAGATGTAAACTCTTGTGGAAAGTTCTGGGGGTTCATCCACTTCTCATCATTGACCAGCTGTAAACTCTTGTGGAAAGTTCTGGGGGTTCATCTACTTCTCATCATTGACCAGATGTAAACTCTTGTGGAAAGTTCTGGGGGTTCATCCACTTCTCATCACTGACCAGATGTAAACTCTTGTGGAAAGTTCTTGGGGTTCATCCACTTCTCATCATTGACCAGATGTAAACTCTTGTGGAAAGTTCTGGGGGTTCATCCACTTCTCATCATTGACCAGCTGTAAACTCTTGTGGAAAGTTCTGGGGGTTCATCCACTTCTCATCATTGACCAGATGTAAACTCTTGTGGAAAGTTCTGGGGGTTCATCCACTTCTCATCATTGACCAGATGTAAACTCTTGTGGAAAGTTCTGGGAGTTCATCTACTTCTCATCACTGACCAGATGTAAACTCTTGTGGAAAGTTCTGGGGGTTCATCCACTTCTCATCATTGACCAGATGTAAACTCTTGTGGAAAAGTTCTGGGGGTTCATCCACTTCTCATCACTGACCAGATGTAAACTCTTGTGGAAAGTTCTGGGGGTTCATCCACTTCTCATCATTGACCAGATGTAAACTCTTGTGGAAAGTTCTGGGGGTTCATCTACTTCTCATCATTGACCAGATGTAAACTCTTGTGGAAAGTTCTGGGGGTTCATCCACTTCTCATCATTGACCAGATGTAAACTCTTGTGGAAAGTTCTGGGGGTTCATCAACTTCTCATCATTGATTAGCTGTAAACTCTTGTGGAAAGTTCTGGGGGTTCATCCACTTCTCATCATTGACCAGATGTAAACTCTTGTGGAAAGTTCCGGGGGTTCATCCACTTCTCATCACTGACCAGATGTAAACTCTTGTGGAAAGTTCTGGGGGTTCATCTACTTCTCATCATTGACCAGATGTAAACTCTTGTGGAAAGTTCTGGGGGTTCATTCACTTCTCATCATTGACCAGATGTAAACTCTTGTGGAAAGTTCTGGGGGTTCATCCACTTCTCATCATTGACCAGATGTAAACTCTTGTGGAAAGTTCTGGGGGTTCATCTACTTCTCATCATTGACCAGATGTAAACTCTTGTGGAAAGTTCTGGGGGTTCATCCACTTCTCATCATTTACCAGATGTAAACTCTTGTGGAAAGTTCTGGGGGTTCATCTACTTCTCATCATTGACCAGATGTAAACTCTTGTGGAAAGTTCTGGGGGTTCATCCACTTCTCATTATTGATTAGCTGTAAACTCTTGTGGAAAGTTCTGGGGGTTCATCCACTTCTCATCACTGACCAGATTTAAACTCTTGTGGAAAGTTCTGGGGGTTCATCTACTTCTCATCATTGACCAGATGTAAACTCTTGTGGAAAGTTCTGGGGGTTCATCCACTTCTCATCATTGACCAGATGTAAACTCTTGTGGAAAGTTCTGGGGGTTCATCCACTTCTCATCATTGACCAGATGTAAACTCTTGTGGAAAGTTCTGGGGGTTCATCCACTTCTCATCATTGACCAGAAGTAAACTCTTGTGGAAAGTTCTGGGGGTTCATCTACTTCTCATCATTGACCAGATGTAAACTCTTGTGGAAAGTTCTGGGGGTTCATCCACTTCTCATCACTGACCAGATGTAAACTCTTGTGGAAAGTTCTGGGGGTTCATCTACTTCTCATCATTGACCAGATGTAAACTCTTGTGGAAAGTTCTGGGGGTTCATCCACTTCTCATCATTTACCAGATGTAAACTCTTGGGGGCATGGCTGAGATTCAAACACACATGGGACGGGCCTGTGAAACGAGACTCTAGGATCTTCTCCTTTTCTCATCATTGACCAGCTGTAAACTCTTGTGGAAAGTTCTGGTGGTTCATCCACTTCTCATCATTGACCATCTGTAAACTCTTGTGGAAAGTTCTGGGGGTTCATCCACTTCTCATCATTGACCAGATGTAAACTCTTGTGGAAAGTTCTGGGAGTTAATCTACTTCTCATCATTGACCAGCTGTAAACTCATGTGGAAAGTTCTGGGGGTTCATCCACTTCTCATCATTGACCAGCTGTAAACTCTTGTGGAAAGTTCTGGTGGTTCATCCACTTCTCATCATTGACCAGATGTAAACTCTTGTGGAAAGTTCTGGGGGTTCATCTACTTCTAATCATTGAACAGATGTAAACTCTTGCGGAAAGTTCTGGGGGTTCATCCACTTCTCATCATTGACCAGCTGTAAACTCTTGTGGAAAGTTCTGGGGGTTCATCCACTTCTCATCATTGACCAGATGTAAACTCTTGTGGAAAGTTCTGGGGGTTCATCTACTTCTCATCATTGACCAGCTGTAAACTCTTGTGGAAAGTTCTGGGGGTTCATCCACTTCTCATCATTGACCAGCTGTAAACTCTTGTGGAAAGTTCTGGGGGTTCATCTACTTCTCATCATTGACCAGCTGTAAACTCTTGTGGAAAGTTCTGGGGGTTCATCTACTTCTCATCATTGATTAGCTGTAAACTCTTGTGGAAAGTTCTGGGGGTTCATCTACTTCTCATCATTGACCAGATGTAAACTCTTGTGGAAAGTTCTGGGGGTTCATCTACTTCTCATCATTGACCAGATGTAAACTCTTGTGGAAAGTTCTGGGGGTTCATCCACTTCTCATCATTGACCAGCTGTAAACTCTTGTGGAAAGTTCTGGGGGTTCATCTACTTCTCATCATTGACCAGATGTAAACTCTTGTGGAAAGTTCTGGGGGTTCATCCACTTCTCATCACTGACCAGATGTAAACTCTTGTGGAAAGTTCTTGGGGTTCATCCACTTCTCATCATTGACCAGATGTAAACTCTTGTGGAAAGTTCTGGGGGTTCATCCACTTCTCATCATTGACCAGCTGTAAACTCTTGTGGAAAGTTCTGGGGGTTCATCCACTTCTCATCATTGACCAGATGTAAACTCTTGTGGAAAGTTCTGGGGGTTCATCCACTTCTCATCATTGACCAGATGTAAACTCTTGTGGAAAGTTCTGGGAGTTCATCTACTTCTCATCACTGACCAGATGTAAACTCTTGTGGAAAGTTCTGGGGGTTCATCCACTTCTCATCATTGACCAGATGTAAACTCTTGTGGAAAGTTCTGGGGGTTCATCCACTTCTCATCACTGACCAGATGTAAACTCTTGTGGAAAGTTCTGGGGGTTCATCCACTTCTCATCATTGACCAGATGTAAACTCTTGTGGAAAGTTCTGGGGGTTCATCTACTTCTCATCATTGACCAGATGTAAACTCTTGTGGAAAGTTCTGGGGGTTCATCCACTTCTCATCATTGACCAGATGTAAACTCTTGTGGAAAGTTCTGGGGGTTCATCAACTTCTCATCATTGATTAGCTGTAAACTCTTGTGGAAAGTTCTGGGGGTTCATCCACTTCTCATCATTGACCAGATGTAAACTCTTGTGGAAAGTTCCGGGGGTTCATCCACTTCTCATCACTGACCAGATGTAAACTCTTGTGGAAAGTTCTGGGGGTTCATCTACTTCTCATCATTGACCAGATGTAAACTCTTGTGGAAAGTTCTGGGGGTTCATTCACTTCTCATCATTGACCAGATGTAAACTCTTGTGGAAAGTTCTGGGGGTTCATCCACTTCTCATCATTGACCAGATGTAAACTCTTGTGGAAAGTTCTGGGGGTTCATCTACTTCTCATCATTGACCAGATGTAAACTCTTGTGGAAAGTTCTGGGGGTTCATCCACTTCTCATCATTTACCAGATGTAAACTCTTGTGGAAAGTTCTGGGGGTTCATCTACTTCTCATCATTGACCAGATGTAAACTCTTGTGGAAAGTTCTGGGGGTTCATCCACTTCTCATTATTGATTAGCTGTAAACTCTTGTGGAAAGTTCTGGGGGTTCATCCACTTCTCATCATTGACCAGATGTAAACTCTTGTGGAAAGTTCTGGGGGTTCATCCACTTCTCATCACTGACCAGATTTAAACTCTTGTGGAAAGTTCTGGGGGTTCATCTACTTCTCATCATTGACCAGATGTAAACTCTTGTGGAAAGTTCTGGGGGTTCATTCACTTCTCATCATTGACCAGATGTAAACTCTTGTGGAAAGTTCTGGGGGTTCATCCACTTCTCATCATTGACCAGATGTAAACTCTTGTGGAAAGTTCTGGGGGTTCATCTACTTCTCATCATTGACCAGAAGTAAACTCTTGTGGAAAGTTCTGGGGGTTCATCTACTTCTCATCATTGACCAGATGTAAACTCTTGTGGAAAGTTCTGGGGGTTCATCCACTTCTCATCATTGACCAGCTGTAAACTCTTGTGGAAAGTTCTGGGGGTTCATCCACTTCTTTGGTTTTGTTCTAGAACTTGGAAGTTTCCATCCTTCCCTGAGACCTGGTTTATATGCATGCAGACTGTTGGTTCCTCACCTCTTAGATAGATGCAATCTGACTTGATGGAAACACTCCTAATTAATCAACGTTTATGAGGCACTTGCAAGAGGACAATGAGTCCATTCTGGTTCCTGCGTATGCTGAGAGTGCAGGATAAACTTACACTGTGGGGTTACAGCAAACATATCACTAGGGTCTGACATCATCCTCGCCACCACACCACCTGTGTCGTCAGCAGAGATACAGTAAAACTTGAGTTGCTGATCCGTCCGTCGCAGACTTCTGATGACCAACTGGCTCTCTGAGTTCACGTGGATCTGCCAATCAACAGATTCAAGGTACAATACGTGTATACAGTAGATATGGTAACATATGGTCATTGAGAATGACTACAGGAATTGTAAACTGCTATTATAAAGAAGTATTTAATGGCTACATGTGGCATCTCAAAATGTTCACAAAAGTTCCAGTTTTAGACCTAGCCACAGTACTCTGCAAAACAGGCGCCACATGTAGCTCTGCTGGTGTCTAGACCATATTCAATCTGCTGACATGTCTTCTGAAACAAGTCCAGTTACAGTTGCAATCGCTGCAGTGCCCACTTGAAGGTGGTGGATGTTCTTTATTTTCTGAGTGCCGTTTGAGGTCTCACGGTGACACAAATTTACATCAAACTGTAACTGTTCTAAACATTGTAAGATGCTGCATGTGTGAAGTCCTTAACTAATTAGTTTATAATACCAGTTTAAAACCCCAACAATCGCTCACAATGACCCTGTATAAGAGCTATAGACACTAATGAAGTCATAAGGAGAACTGTATAGCTGTATCAGAACGAGACGGTCGACACTGTTTGGTCATGTGATGACAACTGGGCAAACTGGAATATATTGTGACAACAACAAGGCTGGAGTGAAAGAGGCAGAGGAATACCAAGAAAGATGGTTTTGGACAGTCTGACATCATGGCATGGACTGACATCATAGCATGGACTGATGCCATGGCATGGACTGCCATCATGACATGGACTGACATCATGGCATGGACTGACACTATGGAATGGACTGCCATCATGACATGGACTGAAATCATGGCATGGACTGACACTATGGCATGGACTGCCATCATGGCATGGACTGACATCATGGCATGGACTGACACTATGGCATGGACTGCCATCATGGCATGGACTGACACTATGGCATGGACTGCCATCATGGCATGGACTGACACTATGGCATGGACTGCCATCATGGCATGGACTGACATCATGGCATGGACTGACATCATGGCATGGACTGACACTATGGCATGGACTGCCATCATGGCATGGACTGACACTATGGCATGGACTGACATCATGGCATGGACTGACACTATGGCATGGACTGCCATCATGGCATGGACTGACATCATGGCATGGACTGACACTATGGCATGGACTGCCATCATGGCATGGACTGACATCATGGCATGGACTGACACTATGGCATGGACTGACATCATGACATGGACTGACATCATGGCATGGACTGCCATCATGGCATGGACTGACATCATGGCATGGACTGACATTATGGCATGGACTGACATCGTGACATGGACTGACATCATGGCATGGACTGACACTATGGCATGGACTGCCATCATGACATGGACTGACATCATGGCATGGACTGACATCATGGCATGGACTGACATCATGGCATGGACTGACACTATGGCATGGACTGACATCATGGCATGGACTGACATCATGGCATGGACTGACACTATGGCATGGACTGATGCCATGGCATGGACTGACATCATGGCATGGACTGACATCATGGCATGGACTGACATCATGGCATGGACTGATGCCATGGCATGGACTGACATCATGGCATGGACTGACTCTATGGCATGGCCTGAGATCATGGCATGGACTGACACTATGGCATAGCCTGACACTAAGGCATGGATTGACATCATGGCATGGACTGACACTATGGCATGGACTGACATCATGGCATGGACTGACACTAAGGCATGGATTGACATCATGGCATGGACTGACACTATGGCATTGACTGACATCATGGCATGGACTGACACTAAGGCATGGATTGACATCATGGCATGGACTGACACTATGGCATGGACTGACATCATGGCATGGATTGACATCATGGCATGGCCTGACACTAAGGCATGGATTGACATCATGGCATGGACTGACACTATGGGCATGGACATCATAGCATGGACTGACATATGGCATGGACTGACATCATGGCATGGACTGACATGATGGCATGGACTGACATGATGGCATAGACTGACATCTGTATCAGAAATCAATGACAGTACACATGACAGAAGGCTGTGAGCAGACAGACCAATCACTGCCAGTAGCATGGACTATAAGAAAAAGACAGTGCTGACAATAATTCAACAGATGTACACATGACATCACTAGCAAGACAAATACTGGCACTCTACAACATCTGAATATCACAGAAAACTGGCTGGTAAACAGCATCTTGTCTGAACAACTGAAATACTCTGGCCACATCAAACATTGCAGGGCCTAGAGCTGGCCACATCAAACATTGCAGGGCCTAGAGCTGGCCACATCAAACATTGCAGGGCCTAGAAAATAAATACAGTAATGGAGGGTACAGTAGCTGGTACGAGAAGCAGGGGGCTGACCAGCACAAAGGCCATGAGACACATCAGAGAACACCTTGGGCATCAGGTGAGAGAGCTGACCAGCACAACGACCATGAGACACATCAGAGAACACCTTGGGCATCAGGTGAGAGAGCTGACCAGCACAACGGCCATGAGACACATCAGAGAACAACTTGGGCATCAGGTGAGAGAGCTGACCAGCACGAAGATGCTGGGACACAAGACATCAGAGAACACCTTGGGCATCAGGTGAGAGAGCTGACCAGCACAAAGATGCTGGGACACAAGACATCAGAGAACACCTTGGGCAGGAAAGTGCATCAGGTGAGAGAGCTGACCAGCACAAAGGCCATGAGACACATCAGAGAACACCTTGGGCATCAGGTGAGAGAGCTGACCAGCACAACGACCATGAGACACATCAGAGAACACCTTGGGCATCAGGTGAGAGAGCTGACCAGCACAACCGCCATGAGACACATCAGAGAACAACTTGGGCATCAGGTGAGAGAGCTGACCAGCACGAAGATGCTGGGACACAAGACATCAGAGAACACCTTGGGCATCAGATGAGAGAGCTGACCAGCACAAAGATGCTGGGACATGAGACATCAGAGAACACCTTGGGCATCAGGTGAGAAAGCTGACCAGCACAAAGATGCTGGGACACAAGACATCTGAGAACACCTTGGGCAGGAAAGTGCATCAGGTGAGAGAGCTGACCAGCACAAAGGCGATGAGACACATCAGAGAACACATTGGGCATCAGGTGAGAGAGCTGACCAGCACAAAGATGCCTGAACATAAGACATTAGAGAAAACCTTGGGCATCAGGTGAGAAAGCTGGCCAGCACAAAGATGCTGGGACACAAGACATCAGAGAACACCTTGGGCATCAGGTGAGAAAGCTGGCCAGCACAAAGATGCTGGGACACAAGACATTAGAGAATACCTTGGGCATCAGGTGAGAGAGCTGGCCAGCACAAAGATGCTGGGACACAAGACATCAGAGAACACCTTGGGCATCAGGTGAGAAAGCTGGCCAGCACAAAGATGCTGGGACACAAGACATCAGAGAACACCTTGGGCATCAGGTGAGAGAGCTGGCCAGCACAAAGATGCTGGGACACAAGACATCAGAGAACACCTTGGGCATCAGGTGAGAGAGCTGGCCAGCACAAAGATGCTGGGACACAAGACATCAGAGAACACCTTGGGCATCAGGTGAGAAAGCTGGCCAGCACAAAGATGCTGGGACACAAGACATCAGAGAACACCTTGGGCATTAGGTGAGAGAGCTGGCCAGCACAAAGATGCTGGGACACAAGACATCAGAGAACACCTTGGGCATCAGGTGAGAGAGCTGGCCAGCACAAAGATACTAGGACACAAGACATCAGAGAACACCTTGAGCATCAGGTGAGAAAGCTGGCCAGCACAAAGATGCTGGGACACAAGACATCAGAGAACACCTTGGGCAGGAAAGTGCATCAGGTGAGAGAGCTGACCAGCGACCATGTTTCTCCCAGGCAGGCTACGACAGAAACTACATTCCATACAGGGCCTGCTACAAGATGATAATGACAAAAAAATTACATCATCAAGTATTTAAGGCCATGAAGCCTCCCAGTAAGATTTAACGATTGGTCCTGTGATACACTGTTTAGTTCCATGTAATGTCGGTCCATAACATCTTTAGGTAGATTTAGATTTTAGTGGTAGGTAGATGATTGACAGGGTCAATCCTGGCAAGGAATGTTTTCATGCAGCGTGAGCAGGGGATTGAGACCACATCTGCTGGGGTGGGGGATCCAGTTGACAGCCTTTTCTGATTTGTATTTGTTGAAACTGCTGCTGCTGTTCTGGCTTTCCCACTCCCTGACAAAGATTTCATGCATGCTTACCTCAACAGTATGCCTGTGTTATAAATGTTACCCCTCATCTACGCATCTCTAGTCTGCCCAGTATTTTAGCCTTGATCACATTCCTGGATGGTCGGGTAACACACAACTAAGTGGGAGGCAAAGGAGACCCACCACACCATTGTTCCCAGTGTTTAAAAGGCTTGGCTACCGAAGGACATCATAGTTCAGAATTCAGCAGAGAGTTTTGGACAAGTTCTTGCAACTGCTTGGACAGTACAGAGTCTGAGACAAGTGTTGCAACTGATTGGACAGTAGAGAGTTTGAGGCAAGTGTTGCAACTGATTGGACAATTGGGCTTAATATTATCAAGAGAACTGATACCAAATATCCAGATGTGTACAGAGACAAAAGTGTGTATGCCACCCGGCTCATCTTGGTAATAACAATCACATATTTGACCATATGTTCAACAAATATTCTCACTCTGCCATCATCTATTCCTCACTCTGCCATCATCTATTCCTCACTAGCATAGATGTATTTGTATTTAAAAAAAAAAAAAATCTCCAAGGACAGGCCCAACCTACCCTGCGATCTCTCTCTGAAGGATGTACGTTTTGTCCCTGGTGATCATACCAGAAGATTTCTGGGGTCAGTCTGTGACTCGGAGGAAGGCTGGTCGAGTGGGTCTCACACACTAGATGTAAGTCTGACCCCACCAGGACCCCAGACAGTGGCAACACTTTCACAGTGGGAGGGTTAGGCTTGCCTGCAATTAAAAAGATATGGGGTTTTTATGTAATAGTGATGCAGTCTTGACAAACAGACAATATTAGCCTCAATATAATTGGCTAAATACAGGGTTTACTTTCAGGGATTAAAAATACAAGCTTCTCTACAAAAGTGATAGGTGATTATTTATAATTGAGATAGGCTTATCTATAAAAGTGATAGGTGATTATCTATAACAGAGATAAGCTTATCTATAACAGAGATAGGCTTATCTATAACAGAGAAAGGCTTATCTATAACAGAGACAGGCTTATGTATAACAGAGATAGGCTTATCTATAACAGAGAAAGGCTTATCTATAACAGAGAAAGGCTTATCTATAACAGAGATAGACTTATCTATAACAGAGAAAGGCTTATCTATAACAGAGATAGACTTATCTATAACAGAGATAGGCTTATCTATAACAGAGATAGACTTATCTATAACAGAGATAGACTTATCTATAACAGAGATAGGCTTATCTATAACAGAGATAGACTTATGTATAAAAGAGATAGGCTTTTGTACGATAGAGATAGGCTTATGTATAACAGAGAAAGGCTTATCTATAACAGAGATAGGCTTATCTATAACAGAGATAGACTTTTGTATGATAGATATAGGCTTATGTATAACAGAGATAGGCTTATCTATAACAGAGATAGGCTTTTGTACGATAGAGATAGGCTTATGTATAACAGAGATAGGCTTATCTATAACAGAGATAGGCTTATCTATAACAGAGATAGGCTTATCTATAACAGAGATAGACTTATCTATAACAGAGATAGGCTTATCTATAACAGAGATAGACTTATGTATAAAAGAGATAGGCTTTTGTACAATAGAGATAGGCTTATGTATAATAGAGAAAGGCTTATGTATAATAGAGATAGGCTTATGTATAACAGAGACAGGCTTATTTATAATAGAGATAGGCTTATGTATAACAGAGACAGGCTTATTTATACTAGAGATGGGCTTATGTATAACAGAGACAGGCTTATTTATAATAGAGATAGGCTTATGTTTAACAGAGGCAGGCTTATTTATAATATAGATAGGCTTATGTATAATATCTATAACATAGATTAGCTTGTCCTTAACAGAGACAGATTTGACTATAACATAGATGAGCTTGTCCTTAACAGCGACAGATTTGACTACAACATAGATGGGCTTGTCTTCAACAGAGACAGATTTGACTATAACACAGATGAGCTTGTCCTTAACAGCGACAGATTTGACTATAACACAGATGAGCTTGTCCTTAACAGCGACAGATTTGACTATAACACAGATGAGCTTGTCCTTAACAGAGACAGATTTGACTACAGCATAGATGGGCTTGTCTTCAACAGAGACAGATTTGACTATAACTCAGATGGGCTTGTCATTAACAGAGACAGATTTGACTATAACATAGTTGGGCTTGTCCTTAACAGAGACAGATTTGACTATAACATAGATTGGCTTGTCCTTAACAGAGACAGATTTGACTATAACATAGATGGGCTTGTCATTAACAGAGACAGATTTGACTATAACATAGATGGGCTTGTCATTAACAGAGACAGATTTGACTAAACATAGATGGGCTTGTCCTTAACAGCGACAGATTTGACTATAACATAGATGGGCTTGTCATTAACAGAGACAGATTTGACTATAACATAGATGGGCTTGTCCTTAACAGCGACAGATTTGACTATAACATAGATGGGCTTGTCATTAACAGAGACAGATTTGACTATAACATAGATGGGCTTGTCCTTAACAGAGACAGATTTGACTATAACATAGATGGGCTTGTCCTTAACAGAGACAGATTTGACTATAACATAGATGGGCTTGTCTATAAGAGATAGACTTCTCCATAAGAAAGATAGGCATGCCCTAACAGAGAAGATGTGGACTGAATAATAACAGTGACAGGCAAAGTCTGTAATAGAGATAAGATTGTCTATAATATAAATAGTCTTGTCTATAACAGAGAAGATATGATCTATAACAGAGATAGATTTGTCAGTACAAGAGAAGATATAGGCTTGTCTATAACAGAGATAGGCAAAGTCTGTAACAGAGATAAGCTTGTCTATAACAGAGATAGGCTTGATATAACAGAGATAGGCATGTCAGTAACAGGGATAGGCTTGTCAGTAACAGAGATAGGCCTCTCTGTTATAGGAAATGATAAAACGGTGACATTCAAAGACCATCTGCTGATTGCTTGCAGGCATCTATGGGGCACAGCTGGTGCATTGTTTCTTTTCTCCCATTATATGCCCCCCCCCCTCCCTCCCATATGTCTTATGTGTCTTATACTTGGGAAAATAGCATACTTATGAACAAAAAGAGTGAATCACTACAAAGAGAGCTGAAACACACAATACAATCAATTAATTATGAATAACAAGAGTATTACACTACAAAGAGAGTTAAACCACATAATACAATCAATAATTATGAACGACAAGAGTGATACACTACAGGGAGAGTAAAACCACACAATACAATCAATTACTTATGAACAACAAGAATGATACACTTCAGGGAGAGTTAAACAACACAATACAATCAATTAATTTTGAACAACAAAAGTGATACACTTCAGGGAGAGTTAAACTACACAATACAATCAATTAATTATGAACAACAAGAGAGATACACTACAGGAAGAGTTAAACCATACAAAACAATCAATTAATTATGAATAACAAAAGTGATACACTTCAAGGAGAGTTAAACCACACAATACAATCAATTACTTACGAACAACAATGAGAAGCTGTCCACAGTTGGGTATAACCACATTGCTGGAGCTAGAAAAACATCTGTATGTGCCGGCGTCTGCTGCGGAGACATTTTTCAGTGACAATGCCACACTGTTACCTGTCCTTGTAACAGACAGTCTGTCTCCATAAATATCTTTAATTCTGGAAACGTTGTTCATTAGGAACACAACGTCTGTGAGACCGAGCTGGCTTTCTGTATCATGTCTGAGTGTAATGTAGCTTGCAGACTTGGCCAGATCACTGTTGGGGATGAGGATGGTTAGTGTGACACTGGTGGATTCAACTGTGATCACTGGATCTTGCACTCTAGCATCTGCTCCTGTCAGTGATAATATAAATATTGTACAGTTAATGGAGAACATCACTGGATCTTGCACTCTAGCATCTGCTCCTGTCAGTGATAATATAAATATTGTACAGTTAATGGAGAACATCACTGGATCTGCACTCTAGCGTCTGCTCCTGTCAGTGATAATATAAATATTGTACAGTTAATGGAGAACATCACTGGATCTTGCACTCTAGCATCTGCTCCTGTCAGTGATAATATAAATATTGTACAGTTAATGGAGAACATCACTGGATCTTGCACTCTAGCATCTGCTCCTGTCAGTGATAATATAAATATTGTACAGTTAATGGAGAACATCACTGGATCTTGCACTCTAGCATCTGCTCCTGTCAGTGATAATATAAATATTGTACAGTTAATGGAGAACATCACTGGATCTTGCACTCTAGCATCTGCTCCTGTCAGTGATAATATAAATATTGTACAGTTAATGGAGAACATCACTGGATCTTGCACTCTAGCATCTGCTCCTGTCAGTGATAATATAAATATTGTACAGTTAATGGAGAACATCACTGGATCTTGCACTCTAGCATCTGCTCCTGTCAGTGATAATATAAATATTGTACAGTTAATGGAGAACATCACTGGATCTTGCACTCTAGCATCTGCTCCTGTCAGTGATAATATAAATATTGTACAGTTAATGGAGAACATCACTGGATCTTGCACTCTAGCATCTGCTCCTGTCAGTGATAATATAAATATTGTACAGTTAATGGAGAACATCACCGGATCTTGCACTCTAGCATCTGCTCCTGTCAGTGATAATATAAATATTGTACAGTTAATGGAGAACATCACTGGATCTGCACTCTAGCGTCTGCTCCTGTCAGTGATAATATACAACTGGTTTTAAATATTGTACAGTCATGGGAGAACATCACTGGATCCTGCACTCTAGCGTCTGCTCCTGTTAGTGTTAATATACAACTGGTTTTAAATATTGTACAGTAAATGGAGAACATCACTGGATCCTGCACTCTAGCGTCTGCTCCTGTCAGTGATAATATACAACTGGTTTTAAATATTGTACAGTAAATGGAGAACATCACTGGATCCTGCACTCTAGTGTCTGCTCCTGTTAGTGATAATATACAACTGGTTTCAATTATGAAACAGTTAACACAGATTACAGGGGCTCATTCCTGGAACTACTGACATTCCCTGCAGGTGGTTAGTCTTTCACCTAACTATAAGGGATAAACCTTGGTGCAATGAAATCGATCCTCACAATTAAAAACATGTTTAAACACACCAGTCAATCAATCAGCAGATCCTCTACAGAATGTTGTCTCGTAACGGCACGCCTGAAACACTTTCTTTTTCTCTAGCCAAATCTCCAGCCCTCTGTGCTTTCCTAGTCAATGTATCTTTACTGTCTTCTATCCACATTCATAGATTTCTGCCTCTGCTTTCTTGTACCCTCCACCACTGTTAAACACATCATAGTTTCATTCTAACTTTTTTTAACCTTCACAGTTAATGAGGCATCCCTGTGTGTGTTCCTGAGTCCTATTACAGGGAAAACAAGAACAGACCCAATGCCTACCAAAAGCATGTGGTAAGAGTCGACTAATTGGGAGCTTTCTTTTAAGTCAGTGTGCATCCGCCTGAGAGGCAAGGAACCAACAGTCTGCATACAAATGAGTCAGATCTGTAAAATGGATGCACATGCAACACTCAGATTCTGGAACAGGACTGCAGTCAAAAAGCGGATTAACAACCAGAACTTTCCTCCAGAGTTTACAGCTGGCGAACGCAAAGAAGAAGGAGAAGGTAATGAGGCATAACAAAGTCACAATGGCACAGTGATCAAACCATTGGCCTCAAGCAAAGAAGGTTTTCTTTAGTGTTTAAGACTTCATGATTCAGTCATGAATACAGGTGTTTTCAGAGATCCCTGGAGGTAACCACTGAAGCTACAGTGTTCAAGCTCTGTGAATTGTTCTTGGCAGACAGCTAAGCAGCATCAAAGCCAGTGCCCAGAAGTCAGTAGGACCAGCCCTTCTCAAGGTTTCATCATCAGAAGAAGATGGACAAGCACAAACAGAACCTGATCACTTCTACAAGGTATCAACAAGGGAAGCAAACAACTAAGGACAGACAACAAACAGGAAACACAACTATGAAGACTAAACCATTAAATATGGCATACCAAAACATGACCACAACTATAACCAAAGATAGACAAAAACAGGAACCAAAACTATGGAAACTAAGCCATTAAATATGGCACACCGAACATGTGACCACGCTTTTAACCAAGGCACTGCACAGCTGATTGAATGTGGTCAATTCTTTGGTTTTACATTGAATCAATTCATCAAAGTCAGTCCTCTCATCTGGAATCACTTGTTTTTGTTTATTAGCATCTAGAGAGAGAGAGAGAGAGAACTTACCTGGCAGAAAATCTTGACTCAGCAAGACTGTGGTGAGGAGAGTCACACTGACAACTGTTCCCCATGAGTATTCCATTCTTTAACTGTTCCTTGCACTCAGATCTCCAATGTTACTCCTGGTATCTTTGACTTGCCAGCCATGTCTGCTTCAAGTACTTCATGATTTATGATAGTCTACAATGATAGAAAACATGTTACAGTCACCTCCTGGTATCTTTGACTTGCCAGCCATGTCTGCTTCAAGTACTTCATGATTCATGATAGTCTACAATGATAGAAAACATGTTACAGTCACCTCCTGGTATCTTTGACTTGCCAGCCATGTCTGCTTCAAGTACTTCATGATTCATGATAGTCTACAATGATAGAAAACATGTTACAGTCACCTCCTGGTATCTTTGACTTGCCAGCCATGTCTGCTTCAAGCACTTCATGATTCATGAGAGTCTATGACGACAGAAAACATGTTACAGTCACCTCTAGAGAACCAAAGGGAAGGAATAAATAGTACATCTTCTTCTTCTTCTTCTTCAGCATTCCGAGCCCTTGAAATTCACTGATGCAAATATCACCTGCCTCCACTCATCTCTCTGGCTGACTTTCTATTGTCATGTGAGCAGGAAAATCTGCTGTCGTTGTCATGTGAGCAGGAATATCTGCTGTCATTGTCATATGAGCAGGAATATCTGCTGTCATCGTCATGTGAGCAGGAATATCTGCTGTCGTTGTCATGTGAGCAGAAATATCTGCTGTCATTGTCATGTGAGCAGGAATATCTGCTGTCATTGTCATGTGAGCAGGAATACCTCCTGTCATTGTCATGTGAGCAGGGATATCTGTTGTCATTGTCATGTGAGCAAGAATATCTCCTGTCATTGTCATGTGAGTAGGAATATCTGCTGTCATTGTCATGTGACAGGAATATCTTCTGTCATTGTCATGTGAGCAAGAATATCTTCTGTCATTGTCATGTGAGCAGGAATATCTCCTGTCATTGTCACGTGAGCAGGAATATCTGCTGTCATTGTCATGTGAGCAGGAATATCTGCTGTCATTGTCATGTGAGCAGGAATATCTCCTGTCATTGTCATGTGAGCAAGAATATCTCCTGTCATTGTCATGCTAGCAGGAATATCTGCTGTCATTGTCATGTGAGCAGGAATATCTGCTGTCATTGTCATGTGAGCAGGAATATCTGCTGTCACTGTCATGTGAGCAGGAATATCTCCTGCTATTGTCATGTGAGCAGTAATATCTTCTGTGACTGTCATGTGAGCAGGGATATCTCCTGTCACTGTCATGTGAGCAGGGATACCTCCTGTCATTGTCATGTGAGTAGGAATATCTGCTGTCATTGTCATGTGAGCAGGAATATCTGCTGTCATTGTCATGTGAGCAGGGATATCTCCTGTCATTGTCATGTGAGCAGGGATACCTCCTGTCATTGTCATGTGAGTAGGAATATCTGCTGTCATTGTCATGTGAGGAGGAATATCTCCTGTCATTGTCATGTGAGCAGGAATATCTGCTGTCATTGTCATGTGAGCAGGAATATCTGCTGTCACTGTCATGTGAGCAGGAATATCTGCTGTCATTGTCATGTGAGCAGAAATATCTGCTGTCACTGTCATGTGAGCAAGAAAATCTGCTGTCATTGTCATGTGAGCAGGAATATCTGCTGTCATTGTCATGTGAGTAGGAATATCTGCTGTCATTGTCATGTGAGTAGGAATATCTCCTGTCACTGTCATGTGAGTAGGAATATCTGCTGTCACTGTCATGTGAGCAAGAATATCTGCTGACTGAAACCAGCAAGAAGTTTTCTTCTGCTTTCTCTTCTCCTCGTTTTTGCCTCCCAAAACAGCACAGACCTTCAACCAACAGATGCCAAGATCTCTAGTTTTTAAACTTCTTCATCAGTGATTGGATCATGCAGGTACGGTGACACCCGGGGTCAAGTGACCAGTCTCATGCTATCTTTTTGTAGCTAGCTTGTCACAACACACAGGGTAGTGCAGGTACAGCTGTCTCTGGGTTGAAGTGACCAGTGTCAACTAACTCTCTGTAGCTAGCTTGTCACAACACACAGGGTAGTGCAGGTACAGCTGTCTCTGGGTTGAAGTGACCAGTGTCAACTAACACTCTGTAGCTGGCCTGTCACAACACACAGGGTAGTGCAGGTACAGTTGTCTTTGGGCTGAAGTGACCAGTGTCAACTAACTCTCTGTAGCTAGCTTGTCACAACTCACAGGTTAGCTCACAGTGTTACTAGACAGGGTTTCCCTCATGAGTCTTAGTAACATGCCTAGCTAAGTTCCTGAATTTGTCTCACAAAGCCAGTTACATTACATTCTTTTATTGACATGCAGCACAGCCTTTGATAGGCATTTTTGGGGGGTCTGCTTTCATTAGCCTTTGACTGTTCCCATGCTAACCTGTAGGGAAGCAAACTTATGTCCCTCTTTATCTGGTCCCTTGACCTGTCCCACATGGCAGACCCTACCTGTAATTGGGCCACCATCTGTACAACTCTTAGCACCAATGAAAACTCCAGCCCCTCTACTTCTACCAGGTGGAGACATAGAGTTGTTCCTGAAATGCCACTTCAGTAACACATGCCTTAATATAGTTATGTTATCATGACATAGAGCCACTAGGGGTAGGGATTTGTACACACGTCTTTTGATCACTGATGTCCATGTTCAATTATCTGTAGCAACCAGTCTGGATTTAAGACCAATCCAGCATGTGAAAAACGGGGGAGGGGTGGCAGAGAGGCGAGTGATGAGGAAGGTAAAACAGTACACACCTTATTCGGCTCTCCTTTGAACTTCGTCCCCATATTATGGTGGCCAAACAAATACCTTACAGAGCCTCAGTCATGTGTAAAACGCGGAGTGCCTGCCGAGAAACAAATGTGCTCAAAACTAGGATCACCTCCAAAAAACGGACCATATCAGCGATATGTTAATTGAGGACCTGTTTCTGTGAATTGGAGGAAGTTGCAGGAGATGCGGTAGCTGCTGCTCATGAGTCCCAGCCATCTAGTTTAGCCGCCAATCCACGCCACGCGTAGTGGCGCAGGGAATACGCTTGGTGGTGAGTTTAATAGGAAGAACACTATCGCTAACCTGCATCAGAGTGCATGGTCTCCCCGCCATGTCGCTATTATCATGTGTATTGTTGCGTTTCTCAAAAGTGTCAACGGACAGTAATAATCCTAGTTTTGCTGTGATGTGTTAGTCGTAGGAAGTCCACATTTTACACATGCCTGAGGCCCTTTTGGGGTATTTGTTTGGCCGCCATAATATAGGGACGAAGTTCGAAGGAGAGCGTAATAAATATTCTATAGCTAAGAAAATGTGACAGCTTAACACTGTGATCATCTTTTGTGGGTGCGCTTAAAGTTATTCAAATTGAAACGATCTCCAAACACCGAGCTACCAGCAGAAAACAGCACTAGTTTGGCTCAGTTACTGTTATTCGAATCACCCCTAGTTTACTTTATAGCATAATTTCTTTATCTCTAATAAAAAGAAACCTTTAAATACCAATGCTGACAGTGCCAACTGCCAACTGAGGCAATTCTAAACGTTCATTCAATGTATCTTGATTACCTTTAATTCAGCTTAGCTTCATTTACGTCCGTACTTGTGTACTGTCTTCAACGTTAATCCGAATGCGTGGGATGACAATTTGGAATGGATTTTCCTGCTGTAAGTTTCGAGTCATGCTAGCAATACGCAAAGAAAAAAAGTTGAAAATATTGCTTAAAACAGCTTTAAAGTTTCCGAAGAGTTAGATGATGTTTTACTGGATTATATTAACATAGCTGTAAGGTCAGAAACAGTGTGATGCGAGCAAGAACGTTGATGAAACAGGCAACGTACGCTGATGTAGAACTTCCAGGAGCAGACATTATTGACTTCGACACGTCTCCGAGTTATCTCCCCTCTCACGTCTGCTGTTCGTTGCTAGTAAAACATTTACCTCACAGAAACGGAACTCTCTTATAGTGATGACAAGTTGCATTTTTTCTTCTCCTCTTAATTCTCCTCGTCTTTTTTTTACCTTCTCTTTTCTCCCATCCTCCTTCTCAAATATCTCCTTATCTTTCTTCTTCACTTACTCTGTCTTCTTTGCCGTATCTTCCTCTCCTTTCTTCTTATTTATATTTGTCATTTTCTCCACATATTCCTCCTGTTTCTTTTTTTTCCCCCATCCCCTCCATTCTCCTCATTTTTTCTCATCATTTCCCTATCCCACCTCACCATCCTCCTCTCCTCCTCCACTCTTCTTCTTCTTCTTCTTCTTCTTCTTCTTCTTCTTCTTCTTCTTCTTCTTCTTCTTCTTCCTCTTCTTCTTCTTCTTCTTCTGCAGATGTCTTGAATGGCAGCCTATTAGCGTTGAGGACATAAAAGATACTAATAAAGTTATGGTTGCTGTATGTATTCGTTTGATATGAGGAAATTCCACCCACTCTATTAATATCATCATCAGATGCTTTGCCCTCTTCAACCGTATAGCCCTGTGTCACAGATATACTGGACCAGTTATATAGAAGCAAATCATTTAGTTTGCCTATTTAGAGAGAATGACTGATGACGCCAAACCAGACAAGGCACACATCGAAAGAGAGCACAAGGTAGACCAAGAACAAAATGGGGGAGGGGTAACATCAGGGAAACTCTAAAACGGCACCATATGTCTATGGCCGAGGTATCGTCAACAACCCACTGACACTGGTCTACAGTTCACTTGGTAGTCGTTCTGGGGTGGTCCAGTATACCTGTGACACATGTCTATGGCCGAGGTATCGCCTACAACCCACGACTACCAAGTGAACTGTAGACCAGTGTCAGTGGGTTGTTGACGATACTTCGACTTTGTTGTAGTCAACGCTACATCACATCTCAGATCTCTCATTTTCTCTGTTGTAGTCAACGTTGCAGTCGATCTCAGATCTTTCATTTTCTCGGTTGTAGTCAACGCTGCAGCCCATCTCAGATCTTTCATTTTCTCGGTTGTAGTCAACGCTGCAGCCCATCTCAGATCTCTCATTTTTTCTGTCTGTTG